ATTTATTTATTTATTTATTTATTTATTTATTTATTTATTTATTTATTTATTTATTTATTTATTTATTTATTTATGCCACAGAACCCCAAATTAATTATTTACAATATCTTTTGCATTTATTTTATATTACTATGGCACTTAGATTCTAATTACATGAAAATAGATGTTTTAGTTCTTTTAGCATATTATTATTGTATTATTTAGATTATTTCTCAAACATGATATTGCAACGCTTTGTATGTGGAATGATTTTGAAAAAGAGTATTTCAGATATTCAGTTAGTTGAAAATACAATAGTGAAGATGGATAATACTTGAATTAAAGTCTTGGGTTCTGGTCAGTTTTTGGGTGCAATTTAATAAACCTATGAAGTTTTAGGTAGCTTGCCCCATGGCACCTAAAAAACTTCCCTGCATCACTGTGAACTGATCTCTTTTTTTAAAAAAGTAGTGAGATGAGGATTAATAATGGAATTTAATCGAGACAGCTGACTGGTTCCAATGAAATATTTTGTTATACCTATTTGGGATGGAGAATTCTGAAAATTTTAATTAAAATGTATGTTATGAAATATCTAAATATAATCGTCCACATTTATCAATAATGATTGGGCCAGGACCCCCCTCATTCAGTGATAATAAAGCATAAAGTCTTGTGATCATGCTGAATAATTACAGCAGTTCTGGTAAACAATGTAGTTTTTATGCTATCTTTTATGTGCTGCCAGTAGGGAAGTTTGCTGATTTTATAGTAGTAGCTCTTCTAAAAAAAAAATTAGCAAAGCCAACTGTGATAATTTTTTAAATAGATCAACAGCCTGGTTTCAAAACAGCTTTTGAATACCCTTATTTCAATAAGCTATGAACTAAAACATTGCTAAGACCCATATTTGTTCATAAACTTTCAAAATTACTATGATTAATTGCTTGCCTTGTTCTCTTGATGGTAGGGCATGGCCTGTGTTGGCCGTACTAAGGAATGCACTATAGTTCCTTCTAACCATTATGGACCTATACCTGGTGTTCCTGTTGGAGCAACATGGAAATTTAGAGTGCAAGTATGTAGACATATTTTCTATATATTGTTTTTTACTCTTGTTTCACCATTGTGTCATTTGCATGAGTGCATAAATCATTACTTGGGTTTTTAATGTAATATTTGAAGTCAGTTAGTTTTTATGTTGTACTAGTAGCTGCTTTTGAAATTTTCCCATTGTCATGCTGATTTATTGACAGGATCCCATCAGGTTATTAGTATAAGATAATCTTTTGTGATCCTGGGTTAATATCTTTATTGTAAGATAAATCTTTTGTCTTGGATAATTGCCAAAAATAAATTTACTGCTCTATGGACTGAGATTTTAAATTTACCTTTTTAAAAATGTCAGCATTATAATATATGACAAAATATTTTTGAAATTGAGTGGTGTTTTGAGTACAATTAAATAGCTTTTGAATACATTTTTTCAGGAAAACAAGATTAAAGTATTTTAACTAGATGCACTAATATTTCACATACGCTATTCAAAACAGGAACATATTTTAAACTTGTTTATTTTAAAGGTGAGTGAAGCAGGTGTTCATAGACCTCATGTTGGTGGAATCCATGGACGTAGTAATGATGGAGCGTACTCCCTTGTGTTAGCTGGAGGATTTGAAGATGAAGTTGTAAGTTCTATATTCCGATTGGTTTGTGTATTGGTGCTCTATTTCAGGGGTCCCCAACCGCCGGTCCGTGGACCGGTACTGGTCCGCGGAACAAGTCTTACCGGGCCGCTGGTTGCTGGGCGCCGCCATCTTTTTTTGGTAAAAAAGCGCTTCCGGTGAGCTTTTCCGGGTAGAAAGCTCACCGGAAGCACTTTTTCATCAAAAAAAGATGGCGCCGCCAGCGCTTCCGGTGAGCTTTTCCGGGTAGAAAGCCATTTCTACCCGAAAAAGCTCACCGGAAGCGCTGGCGCCGCCATCTTTTTTGACGAAAAAGTGCTTCCTGTGAGGTCACCGGAAGCACTTTTTCGTCAAAAAAAAATGGCGGCGCCCAGCTGATGCCGGTACCGGGCCGCGGCGTCAAAAAGGTTGGGGATCACTGCTCTATTTGATTGTTTTATCTCATCTTATGTAAAAATATAAAGATGCTGGTAAAAATGTTTTTTTAATGTTTAAAATGGATTTATTTTTGTGTTAGCAAAATGTCAGTGGGTTCCAGCATTCAGCTATACTGAGATTCTGACTGGAGAAGGATAGAAAAATTATAGAGGTTTATTAATCTGACAGCTCAAATGATTCACCTTCACCAGCCAGATCAAAATTGATGCTTAGCCAGAGGCAAGACATGGATACTTCTTTCTGTTGCTAGGAGTTGTTTTTGGCAACAGAGATTAGTATTGGAGTCTTAGAATGAAGTTTAAGTTATGTTGTCCTACTAGAGAATGGAAAATACAATATGAGCAATAATTGTAAAAATGTAAAGCAAAGTTTGAATATTTAGATAGTAGTTAATGTTGGAAGAGAAATTAAAAGAACCAGGAAAGGTTTGTAAAAGGAATGTATGTAAAAGAAAGGAACTGTACAGAATACTTCTTTTTTACACAAGATATTCTATTTTTTATTTCTGACTTTTATACAGGGCTTATGCAATAATTGTAACAATAAAGGGAAAACATTTAAAAAGAAAGACAGCTTGGTAATTTTGGGCCAATCATACTCTCTCAGTCCAATGTACTTTGCAGTGCTGTTTTGTGAAGAAAATGAGAGGAGGGAAAATTTTTATTTAGTAGGGCTCTTTGACTTTGGTAATTTTTAAGACCTGTAGACGTGAACTCCCAGAATTCCTCAACCAGTATGGCTGGCTAGGGAATTCTGGGAGTTGATGTCCACAGGTCTTAAAGTTGCCAGGGTTGAAGATAGCACTTTGAGCTGCACAAAATAAAGATGGGAAATGTATCTGGCAAATAAAAATGAAAAAAAAAAAAAAGGTATTTCAGTGGTGCAACCAAAAATACATTCATATAGTTTTATTAGAATATTTACTAACATTTTGGCTTTCATAAGTTGCTTATGAAATGTTATAAAACATTTCCATTTACTAGATAATTCATTAACAGATTTTTATTGTGTAAATCCAGATTATCAACTGCTACAACTTTTGGTTGATTTAGTCAGATACGTCTGATAGCATTGAATTGGTGCTAACTGACATGCTTTGATATTTAATTAATGCTTTTTATTTATTATTCATGGTTCATGTTTTTATACAAAGTAGCTCAAGAAGATATAATGTACTTGTGTGTTTTACCCTATTTCCTCAGGCCTATAATTTTGTGATTATTGTTGCAGATTCCTTTTAGTTTATTGGTATCATTTGCCATTAAATGCTAATTAATTATTACTGAGATGATGTGAAGGTAAAGTGCATTTTTACTGAATAGCTGATGCCAAAAATCAGAATACTTCAAAGGAAAAGAAAGGTGCATAAGCCTTCAAATATTTCTCTTTATTTCCCAAAACAACCACAGAAGACTAGTAGCTCTCAAACAGATTTAATTCATGCTCACCACCCTTAAACCAGTTAAACTTTTATGTCATGCTAAATTATTTTGGAGGGGAAGGGTAATTTACATCTTGTGGAAAGGGTATAGCCAGGGACAGAAAGATTAGTAATTTATCATATCTGTAATGTCCAAATTCACCCAAAGTCATTCAACTCTGTTTAAAATTGTTCAAATTCACCCTTCTGAATGGATTTGCTAATATCATCTTTCCCTGAAAATACGACCTACCCCAAAAACAAGCCCTAGCTGGATTTTCACGCATGTACCTAATATAGCCCTACCCCCAAAATAAGCCCTATTTAAGCCCCGCCCACTGTCTGGTTGTATGAAGTAGGGTGAGGTCTTTTAATCCTGAAATTTGAGGATAAGATACCTGAGAGAGGCATTCCCTATATCCTGGCATATAGAAATCTGTAATTAGATCCAGCTCTTTGCCACTAATGCAAATTTAGTGCATTCACATCTATCCTGGATATAGAACAGATATAATGGGAGAGTATGGAATGTGAGGATTTGTGTTGAAAAATCCTATTTATGCTCAGGATGAAAATATCATTAGTATTCTGTTCCTCTCTTGCAGCCTATGTAAATTGGTCCTTCTAAAACACTGCCTACTGAAGTTAACGCTTTTTGTGTTTTTAGGTAGACACATTTGTATGCAAACAGATATGAATATGACCACATACAAATACGTCCCCAAATATCTGTGGCAGCACCACATAAAGTGTTGGTATAGTTATATATGCACAGCTGTTATTGCATGGGACTCATTTTCATCTTCTACTTGTATATTTCAGACTATCCTCAATCATAATTTGACATTTTAAAGGATAATTTATCTTCTTATATAGGACCGAGGTGATGAATTTACTTACACTGGGAGTGGTGGAAGAGACCTTTCTGGCAATAAAAGAATTGGGGAACATTCATTTGATCAAACTCTAACACACATGAACAGGTGCTTTTAAAAATATTTTCCTATTTGTTTTTTAAGGAGCAAGCATTCATTTTTAAGGAAAAACTGCACTTTCAAACAGGTAGTCATCCTAAGTCTGTTGCCTCTTATAGGTTGCTAAAGCATCTTAGAAGTCCATTGGAAAATTAAAGTGCTATGAGAAATCAAGATGTTAGGCAAAAGTGGATTGCAGCTTTTCCTGTAGAGAGAAAACAATATTTCTGCTTATTGCTACCCTGTTGATGAAAGAATAAAGCAGAACGGGTTACAAAGGGGGAAGATCTTTTTAGTTTTAATGGCTGAGTAAAGTTAGGAGCCCTTCAAATTGTGAAACACCTGCATCTGGAGACTGAAGCTTTGAGTGCCTGAATGCAGCACTCTTACGTTTTTTGTGAAGGAAGAAAAAGGAGGATCAATTCAGGTTTGAGATGGGCATACTGTTTCCATAGGAACAAACTGCAGTTGATTCAGTAGTGATTCTATGCTTAACTAGCCTGCTCTGATAACTGTAGAGTATCAAATTGCAATAGTTTGGCATGTCATGGTAAATCCTCACTGATAGTCTAATACTTTAAGAAATATTCTGTTATGTTGAAAGACTTTAAAAAAAAATTTTTTTTTTCAGAGCCCTGGCTCTAAATTGTGATGCTCCATTGGATGACAAAAATGGAGCTGAGTCTAAAAATTGGAGAGCTGGGAAACCAGTTAGAGTTGTTCGCAGTTCAAAAGGTCGAAGGATCAGCAAATATGCTCCAGAGGAAGGCAATAGATATGATGGCATATATAAGGTAAGTATTGTTCTTCTGTTTGTCTTGGAAAATATTAATAGCGAAGTACTTTTTTTACTGCAAAACTTACTGATCTAAAAGATGCATGTGTATACTCTTTTGTGATTTCTGGATGTTATTAATGGCACATTTCAAGTATTCAGTGACCTTCTGATCTGTCACAGAGGGTTTAAAGAATGCCCTTTATGTTCACAGCTTTCTTTCATGCAATTTTGGATTCAACGCACTCTAGAAAGTATGCTCAGTTAAAATCAGTAATCAATTTGTTGTACTGTTGTATTGGTTGTCTATTATTTCAGCTTTTGCACAACGTATCTGAGGTGATGAAGGGAGAGAAAGAATTGATAAGTTGAATATATTTTCAGTAATTCAATAATATGTGCATTTAAAAAAATTGGATTTCTGTTTATAGCATAACAAATAGAGTTTTCAGCTGTTGGCATCTTTTTGATGATTTATGTAAAAAGCCCTCTAAACTTCTCCAGCTAACTTTGTCTATTATTTATGCTAATTTGCAAAAATTAAATCTGCCACTACCAGAAAAAAAATGCCTTGATTCTTAGAAAATGTGGCATATATACTTTTTAGAGAAACAGTCTGGTTATCAAAGATTACTTATTGTGGAAGTCAATATTAAGTTCTTTCTTTACAATACCATTGCTTAGGAAGTCCACTACAACACAGTGGAGATGATCAGAAGCAAGATAGATAAATTGAGATCAATACCTCAACTTGCCTTTGTATGTAAGTTGCTTTTCAGATAGCATAAGTTTCTTTCCTAGAGCTAATGTATATGTAGAGAGAAATTGCTATATCTAGATATGCTTGGATGAAAAAGATTCAAAATCCACATCAACTTGATATTTAGATCTGGTTTTAACAAGTCAACTGCTTAGTATTTTTTGTGATCTCTACTGGGAGGGAGATTAGGAAAATATATCCTAGTTACTTTTCTGGGATCTTTATTCTATGGCTGTTCATTATTTCTTTCTAGACAGTTTTCCTGAATAAATTGTGGAACTTTTATTTTATTTATAATTTGTCAAACAAAACCAAAAACACAAATAATATAAAGAATAAAATGACAGGGACAATAGGCACATTGGTGCACTTATGCACGCCCCATTTACAGACCTCTTAAATATGAAATGAGGTCCACAAAAGTCAATTAGTGACTAAAACTGTGAAAATTTGTAGCTGAGGCAACTGCATCAGGTAGAGCATTCCAGACTTTGACAACTCTATTACAAAAATCACATTTTTACAGTCAAGTTTAGAATGGTTTACATTGAGTTTAAAACGGTTTGAGCATGTATTATTGTGATTAAAACAGAAAAAGTCATTTACAGGTAAAACATTACTATGCACAATTTTGTATGTAATACCTAAGTCCGACCGCAAGTGATACAGTTCCAGGTTATCCAAACCAAGAATTTTGAGCCTAGTAGCATAGGGAATTTGATTATGTACAGAAGAGTGCAAAATCTTTCTCGTAAAGTACTTCTGAACCTGCTCGATTGTGCTAATTAATATCAAATATATGCTGGGGTGGGCTGCTGGGGGTTCTCAGAGGTTCGGGAGACCCCCTAGCTAAGATTCTGTGCAGTTCGGAAAACCCCCAAATCCCACTCCTGGCTGGCCCCTTCCCCCTACCCACCCTCCCCACCCCTCCCAGGAGTCCCCACGCGGCTCGTTTTGGATGCAGGTAAGTGCAGGGCGCGCACGGAGGCTCAGGAAGGCCAAAAAATGGGCCTCCTGGAAGTTTGGAAAGGCTGGAAATTGGCCTCCAGAGCCCAGGGAGGCTATTTTCACCCTCCCAGAGGCTCAAAGAAAGCCATGGGAGCCCAGGGAGGGCAACCCTCCCCCCACCATGGTGCAGGAGGCCGACTAGGGCATGGCCACACCCACCCAGCAACTGGGCAGAGAACTCTTTGCTAAAAATTTTGAAGCCCACCCCTGGTTATATGATAGGGATTCCAAACAGTTGAACAGTACTCCAAGATTGATCTAGCATAAGTTTTATAAGCTCTAGTTAGCAATACAATGTTTCCAGAAAAAAAACTTAGGTAGAATTAAATTAACAACTCTTTAACATTGGTTTCAGGCAACTACTTTATTACTCTTCCAGATATTTTAATGTTAACTTTTGGTTTAAATACAGGACTAAAACTATCTTAATGGATTATCTATGCTGAAAAATGAATAGGATTCATGACCCTCCTAATTTCTCTAGGCTATCTGTTTTACAGTAGTTTCAAATCTTTTGCTGTTGCACTTCTGTTTCACACAAATGTATCCAGGGCATCCAATGAGACTCCATCTTGTTTCTCATGTTCTTCAGTATCTACTTGAAATTTGGAGTGGGATGTCATCAATATGCTGATAACACCAGTTTGCTTGCCCTTAAGGAAATAGTCCTTGAGGGCAAATGCTGAAGTTTGATAATGGGCTAAATGCAGATGAAGAAACAAATGAAATCCAGGCTTATGTTAATTGAATCTTGGGTACTTGGATGTTGAACTTTAGCTTGTTGTGGATGTATTGCATCTCTTCCTTTTCCACAGAAATGGAAGATCTCATTGATTAAGGTTGCATCTGTGATAAAGAATCCATTCCACTTGCATTGGCAGGATATCTGGATTGATTGCTAATCATTGTTAGCTCCTTTTTGATCATTGTGATTTATCTTTAAAAAGCACCTGGAAGTTTTAGTTGGCATAAAATGTGGCATATAGGTTGTTAACTAATAAAATAGTTGGGAATGATGCGAAAGATATAGTGCTACTATTAAATTTTAGAGTGTGTGGGCTTATAAATTTAATAAAAAATAGGAAATAATAAAACTATAATACACAGTTTAGGACCTGACTACCTGAACAGTTGCCTTTTCTTTAACAAGTCTGTAGAAACGTTATGATTGGCAGAAGAAGCCTTTTTGTGTGTGTGTCCCCAGACTCAGAAGCTCTTCTGTACCACATTCATATTATGGAATGTACTCTTTTTGGCTTTTATTCTCCCTCTGTTTCTTAGAAGAGCATTCATGATGCAACTCCAGGTTTTTAATATTTGATTATTTCATACTTTAATTTTATATTTTGTATTTTGCATTTTAATTTTATTAGCCACTTTGAATGCGCAACTAAGCAAAGAAGAAAATCACAGATCAATGCTGTAGGGTGGTAGTCTAAATCAGGGGTCTCCAACCATGGCAACTTTAAGACTTGTGGACTTCAACTCCCAGAGTTCTTCAGCCAGCAAAGTTTTAAGTTTTGCTGGCTGAAGAACTCTGGGAGTTGAAGTCCACAAGTCTTAA